ACCCACACCCACACCCACACCCACACCCTCAAGTAAAACATTTCGCCTCATCTCTCTTCATGAACAAATATACAGACATCTATGAAAGTATACTTTGGGATATGCTTCAATTACTTGTACTGGACAGGATAGCTTCGTTTTCATTTACCTTTTATTTAATAAAACCAGATTTTTATACCCAGTTTTTTATCCTGATTACGAATCTGAAACCATATTTTTGGTTTGAATGAATATAAAATATGTATTATTCTGATTATGGGTCCAAATTAATAGAGATATGCACTACCCCTCACTGTTTGTGATCTGGACTAACTTTCCCTACCAAGGTTGAAATCTTTTGAGTTATACCTCAAACGATACAGAATTCCAAGGGCTTTCAGAAAAAATAAAATTTATTTTGGGACAGCATGATTCAGCGTGGCTAGTGTCAATATTATGAAAAATCTTCGTTTTTAGGCAATCGTCATTTAACTCGTATATGGAGACTATCACTTGATAAATAGCATTGTAGAATATACTAAATTAGTAAATTTTGTACAGAAAACATTTCTGAATCTTTTGAGACGTCACTGAATTCCCAGAAATGTTCGGATACTGAGAAAAGTGCAAAATACTTGGAGCACTGAAAAATAACGATTTTTTGACCAACTGTCGAGGTGTGTGTCACTTGCATGATCTAGTGTTTTTCACAGGAATATCAGAAAGATCTGATATTTTGGATTTAAGAACTCCTAATGATGGTCTATCGTTTTAGATAGTTAAATCGAAAATCAAAATTTTATCGACGGCCGGTCTCATACAAAATTGGTCGGCCCTCTCGTGGACCCTCTCTTAAGTTTTCGTCTTCAAGTACTATACCTCATACTTTATTTTCTTTGTAACTTGTAATTCTCTCACTGTCTTTATCATGTTTGAATATCTAGATTTCTCACCGTTCCTGTCATATATTGGTTGTTTCTTCTTCTTTTCTAGTATTCGTTGGGATCTGTTATTACGCTATGAATATCGTATAGTGCTTTTTTATAGCTCTGATGATTCTACTTTTTTTTCTCATACATATAGAGAGACATTGTTATTGCTTGACTTTTTTCTTTTTCTTTCGTTAGAAAAATTAAAGTCATAACAGTGATTTCAATGCTTTTTACATTTAGTTCAAAAAAATTACTTTCACCAACAACAACTTCTTCTAACCATGATTCTGATGAAGAATTGAACGAGATGAGAGCAATTGATAACGACGAGGTACCTGATGAATTTATTTAAGATGATAATGACAATTCTGAAGATGATGATTCAATAGTGAAAGAACCTGATGAAAATGAAACTGATACTTCTTCAGCTAACAACACCAGCAGCGAAGAAGAAGAAGAATATTTAACATCATCACAACAAGAAAGACAATCAGAAGAACCACAACAAGAATTGGAAAAATTATTATCAAATCCTGAAGAATTAACGAATAAAATTAATCTTTTACTTAAAAAATTACGAAAATTAATGTCGATGATACACAAATCCAGTATTTTGACTTCATTCATCCGTAGTGAAATTCAACGAAAACAAATTGATTTAGATGCAATCAATAATTCAAACGATCAAAACAACATCAAAATAAATGAACTTGTACAAGATTTTTATGTTCGTTGGAACTCAACTTATCTTATGCTCATACGTGTAGTAGCAATTCAGCAAATTATCAATGATATAACATATACTCCACAAGTACGTATTGGTTTAACATTCAAACAGATTAAAACATTGAAGTCATTAACAAACAGTCACCTAGATTGGGAATTATTACAAGGTTTAGCTAATGTTCCAGCTCCATTTTTTTTGGCTACTGTGTGCTTATCAGGCAGCAAATATGTGACATTATCATTATCTTATTGGGTTCAAAAAAATTTTCATACATATTTATCAACAGCAACAACTAATCCATTAGAAAATACATTGAAACGTTTATTATTAAACAAGTTTATATTATATTTTGAATCAAAACCAACACCACAACAAAGAAATGGTAAATTGGTAAGTCGAAAGAAATCAAGAAAAATTTGCAGTTTGTTTTACAAGTTTAATAAAAATAATGTCCGACACTCAATAGTGCTTTTCATAGGCAAATCACTAATCAGAAAATGAAGAGAAACTCATCTTAATTTTTTCATGTTAAGTACAGGAGTAGCACATTAAATTCTATCTTTAAGGAAGTTAAAGTAGAGTTTTCACAAAAGCTTTTTTTTTAGTAAAATATTATTTCTTTTGATAAGAAACAAAATTCATGCAAAAAGTGTGATCTTTTTAGCAAAAAAGCATTTTTTTTATAGACAAATACTTTTAAAGGAAGAAATACTTCTTTTAAAAAAACGTATTTTTTTTTGAAAAAACTTACTTTAAACTTTAACATTTTTAAAGTTAAATTCAAAGTACACTACTTTGACTTAACTTTCAAACTTTAAAGTATTTCACTTTAACTCCCTTTTTTTTAAAGTTTAAAGTCCAAAATGCCAACCCTAGTCGCGTAATTGATATAATCAAGATTTAGCATCTGAGCCAGAAGAAGAATCGAAACCAATCAAAGATCGGTGTGAACATTGTACATCTAAGGAGGAACAAGAAGTGACCATGAGTCATTGAATTTTCGTAGCTGTTCTTCGCTGAATCTTGTTTTCAAGTTGTTGCAGAAGACAAGTCTTGATTGTCCTGAAAATTTCATGTGAAAAGTCCAATCGAGTTGTGTTTAGCTCTCTCATTAATCTTTTTTTGAAGAACTCACGTAGATCGATTTCAAGGTAACTAGAAATATTCTTGAAAGTTTAAGGCATCGTAGACCACTCTCGTTGAATAGTCTAACGATCAAGCGAAATATCATATGACTTCTAAGTATTTCTGTTGTTTAATAAAAAACCTTGGATCTACAGAAATCATTCAACATCACTCTCAGTCATTATCTCTACAAAAGAAAGCTTTTTTTCTGTCACAGCACTCCTATTTCTATTACTAGATAGGTCTATTCAAGTCTTTCTATTTTTAGATTGCAGCATATCTAGATCCAAATACATTTGTTGATTTATCTGATGAAGAAATCCGTGAAGCTGAACTATTAATTACTAATAAAAATAAAGCACTTCGTGGCGAGCCACAACAACAAATTACAACTTCGACACAGTCATAGCTTCAGCAGCAACAATTTACATCATCATCTTCCGTTCCAAATACGAAACGTTCATTATCAATTATGGAACAGTTCAAAAATGCCTGTAATATTACACCGGCAACAAATACACTTACATCAAATCCAACACGAACAGTAAAACCATTATCTCTTAAAGAAGAATTTGGTATGTACATGTCAACATATAAACAGTCAACAGATTTTGAAACATTTTGGAATCAAAAACAACATATCCCAGGTCAAAGATGTACGGCAGGAAACGATAGGATCCTGCGTAATTCCGGCCATTTCATGGAAGCAGTATTCCAAAATCGGATCCGGCTTCCGGATCCTGCTTAGTTCCCGCTAATTCCTGCACCAGGATGCAATGTTCGGATACGGTTGTCATTTCCGGTCCGGTTCCTGACCAAGTTTCCGGTTTTATAGCACGCTAACCGGATCCGAGCTGTATACCTGCCGTTTCCAGCACGGTTCCGAACAAAGGTTCCGGTGTTTCTTCCCAACCGCCGGATCCCGGTTATAAAGCACCCATTTCCGTTCCATTTACAAAGCCCACATCCGGTCGTATTAAAGATCTGTGAAAGATATTTCGAAGATCTTTCAAAGACTATCAAAGAATTTCAAAGACTTTCAAACATCTTTCAAAGATTTTCAAAGATATTTCAAAAATCCTTCTAAGATCTTTCGAAGGTCTTTCCAAGAACTTTAAAAGACTATCAAACACTTTGAAAGATCTCTGAAAAAGCTTTCAAAAATCTTTGAAAGATCTTTCTAAGACTTTCAAAGACTTTAGAAGACTTTGAAAAAATGCTTCAAAGATCTTTCAAAGGCTTTCGAAGACTTTGAAAGACCTTTCAAAGACTTTCCAAGACCTTTCAAAGACTTT